AAGTACCACAGAGCTGCTTGATTGCTGCCCACCTGCCCTGGTGGGGAAGGCAGTCAGTAAAACCTGTGGGTTGAGATGAGAACAGATCAATAATTGAAGCAAAGTAAAATATAACAATAGCCACAATAACAACAGCAATTAAATGATACAGAGGAATGAAACCCAAGAGAAACAAGAGATACACAGTACAAGTGATGCTCACCACCTGCTGACTAATGGCCATCCCATCCCTGAGCAGTGATCAGCAGCCCGCAGCCAACTCCCCCCAGTTGAGGGGGAGATTATGATCTGGGGAACTGATCATGATGTTCCATCATACGAAATATCCCCTTGGCAAAATCAGGTCAGGTGCCCTGGCAGTGCTTCCTCTCAGCTGAAATCAAGACACCACCACAGTACACACATCAAGCTCACCGTAGTTTATGCTCAAGCAACAGAAGTACAAGGTTTTTCAACATATGATGGGCTACAAACGCAAACTTCAAACTCTCTCAGCAATATAAAGTACATGGGGTCTTTGAATAATATATGAGGCATCTTTTTTAATAGCTCTTGTAAAACTAGTTTTGCCATATGCAAATTGATCTGTAATACACTGCAGTATTGTGCAGTAAAAAGCAGCTCCACTATGTTTATGTAATCGAAGCACCTTGATCCTGCCTGTTTCACTGAGCTGCCCCATGGTTAATATGCACCCATCCTTGAAACATGTTGGTCTAATACACGGAGCCAAAAATGCTTGCCTACCAGGCTTCCACTTCTTAATAAAATCTTTCTGTAGGTAGCTCTGGGAAAACTATTAGCAGGCTGTTATTAATATTCAGATAAATTTAATAGCTGCTATCATCAGGCTGGCAGTAAACAAATGAAAACGCACTAGAAGTTACTTCAGAGTCAGTGAAACTGGCGCCTAATTGTCAGCAAGAAAGGTCTACAGGACAAAGGTCAGGTATCTACAGTGTAATTTCTTCCTGGAACAGCTACACCCATAAATAAAGACTGAGCAGGCCACCTTAGTCCACATGGCATCTGTGAGCTTAGTTCAAATTCTAACCGTATTCAAACAGGCAAAAATGGGTGAACAGTGAGAGCAACCCTTGTCACTGACCACAGAGAGATGTCTGCTAGCTGTTTTTTTACAACAACATTTTGTGTGATAAAAATGAGACCTGGAAGAGTAGTAAAAGTTAGAAGGAGACACTATAACACCTCCATAAAGGAACAGTAAAAGTTAGAAGGAGACACTATAACTCCTCCATAAAGGAAAAGTCTGTTCAAAGGCTGTGAGTGCTGAGCATTTAAAAAATTTAGCTGATGCTTCCTGATCAAACACCAGAAAACCTGAGCAAGTTTGTATTATGGATGGAAAGAAAAAAGGCAGAATTCTGAGATTCTGGGAGCCAGCACTTAGGCTGGCACTTTTCTATAAAAAATCCACACTGTTGACAAACTGAAATGTATTTTCAGAAAGTGAAATTACTTTCCTTGTTTAGGTACTCGTGAGGAGCAATGCAGATCAATAATTTGTGTGTACAGGCCTGGTGACACTTCTCTCCAGTGCTATTTGGTTTTCAGACCAACTCCCCAGTCTCCTGCCACCCTAAAGTTTCACAAACCGGGAGGCCCTGCAGACACTAAAGCACATCACCACCAGCACTTCTCCCCCATGCACCACCAGCCTGGATCCTGCTCAGCCTCCCAGTCTTGTTCTGAACCTCAGCATAATTTTAAAACTTGTCAGAAATGAGTCAGCTATGGTAAACCTGCTTTGCTGGAGGGATGTTTTTCTAACACACTTGCCAGTGGTATTTTGCAGGTATTTAGATAGTGAGAGAAGGACGTTTTCTAGAAGTATATAATTTCCCATATAGCTCCAGGATGCAACTCTGATGAGTTGATGTTGAAGTTTTGAATCTGTACTCTTTGGGATGAAAATCTTTTGGAGCATGGCTCTTTCAAGTGTGGCTGGAAAGGCAGGTAGAGGAAGATGGGAGAACAGATTTCTATAGAAACTAATAACTGGTGTATCTCCTTCTAAACTTAGACAGATTATTTAACCTATTCAAATCTTTTTGACCTACCTACATTTAATCAGTGCAGCTTTGTAATGAACTTAATTGCCCATTAATTTGTCCTGGGGTATGGTAATAATGAGTAGCTGCCAAGATTTGTTTTGTATCAGCATTTAAAAGCCACAATTTTGACAGCAATGTATTGTCTCTGAGGTTTCTTTGTTCTAGTTCTTAATCATTCGCCCTACTTACCAAAACACTTCTAATTACTTCTGGAAAACCTGACAACCTGCTGAAATACTCTCCACTGTGACTGGCTGTGAGAAAGAGATGCCTAATACATCAGCTTCAGGTTTTCTTCTCTAGTTTAAAAATATGAATTACACTTTTTTTAATCCCTTGTTTAAAAAATACAGATAATTTAGTATATAATCCATGAATAATTTATTACAAGAGAAGTATTAGCATAATTTCACTAAAAAAATCAAAGTTATTCCAAACTAATAACTAAATATAAACACTTAAAAAATAGCATCTCTTACAGCAAACGTTTTTTATACAAAAACTTAATCAGTAATTTACTTCTTAACATGACAGACTTCCTGTACACCACGAAACTAAGGATTAACTTGGTTTTCTGACATCGTAGGAAAATAACATTCTTTTACTAGTAGTTGTTATTTAAGTATAAAAGCAGATAGACAGGTCCAGTAGAAAGTAACAGAATTTTTGCTTGGTACAAGTTAATTGACTGTCAACAGTTGGTATAAAGAACATCCAGATCTTTCTCAAAGGAATTATTACTACCTCTCTTTAAAAAATGCCAATACATTCATTCAAGAACTGAACTGGTTGCTTTTTCTTACTAATAACCCATTTGGTCATTCCACAGTGATGACTGAATAAGCAAATAAAGGAGCCACAAGCTATGCAAAAGGATTATTTTTCTCTTTTTAGTGTAAATATTTTCTTCAGTTATTCTTTAAATGGAGTAATTCACAGTGAAAAGCAATGTAAGCTTTTGTTAACAGACAAACTGTAATATAAACTCCATCTTCTGTCTTTTTATTATTTGCCTTACCTGTTTTTAACTATAAATATTTTCAAGCTTGAATCTGGCCAATAAAGACAAAGTATCCTCAACATTAGGTAAGAAGTAATGAAACCCTGTTCATAGATTTTCTTCCTTCTTTGACACATGCATTTTAATAGCAAAGAATTACTCTAAGTCTCATCACTTAAGAATCTGAAAAATATTCCAAAGCATCATTAAAAATAATTAACAAGTGAGATGTGTCATGAATATCTTTCAAAAAAGGAAGTACTGAAAGTTTGCACAACACAAACATGTGGAATATCATCAGCAACCCTTTTGTTCTTACATCTAAATGATGAGATTTCTTTGGTGGAATAATTTGTTATCCATCCAAATTGTTCTCTTCTACTACACTTTTTGAACACTGGAGAACATACAGCCTGCTTCATGAGGGAGTTTTGCTTGGCATATATATATGATTAAAATAAGTTTTTAACTGCTGAAGTGCTAGTAACCCCTGGAAAATGTTCTGGACTGACATGTAAGAATCCAAAGATTGGGAATATTATCTTTATGGTGAGCTCATAATGACCCATACATCCGATTGATGAAGCTACTTTCTTGCTCACAAAGTGGAAAACAATGGGGATTGTAATGAGTAAATCAGGCTGTGCAAGCTGTTTTTGTGAGATAAAGATCAGTGACCAGAACTGAAGAGCATTCTGTGGTACAGATACCAGTCTTCTAGCCTCTGGTAGATTATCACACTGCTAAACATTTAATAGAGGTGAAAACTCATTTTTAGAAATGATGAAAAGGCCAAACTAAAAAAAAAAAGATGTTTTGATGTTTTTCACCCCTTGTTTACAGCCCATCCTAGTATTTTTAGAAATAGTGCATGGTGTGTAAAATGGATTCTAACAGAATATAAAATAACAGGACTGTTCTATTATTGATATAGAATGATACTGTTCCAGAAAATGAGAAAAAAATGAAAAGCTTAAAGGGGTTTTGATGGGCAATATTAGGAAAATGTACGGAAATTAGTGGAGCCCATTCTTAAGCCTCAAAGTAATATAAAACAGAGTACAAATTCTTAATTGCACATTCTGTTTCTCTTCTGCCTTTGAATACTTTATTTTTTTAATCTGATGTAATTTTTAAGGCAACAGCAAGTGTTTTCAAGCCTCTAATGAATTTTCTTTTTCTTAAACTTCATCTTAAATAAAAAGGTATAGGCACATTCAGGGATTTGCAATCCACTCAGGATTCCTTGGGTAGAAAAGCTGACACTTTGCTGTTAAATAATGGATTTCGAAGGAGATAGATTACCAAAAACTGTATTTGACAAATTTTTTTCATGATATCTATTCAAGTTTCATTGGTAGGGGATCAAAATGGAAAAAATCTTGTATAAAATTTTATATTAAAGGCTAAAAGGGTTAAACACTGTTTTATTCATATTTCTTCATATATGTCTGCAATGAATATCCTTCATGTAGAATATCTACATGACTGCTTGGCAATAAATTACAAAAATATAAAGAAATCCTGAAATATTAAGGCCATCACTAAGATGATAGCAAGGTACTTGTCACTTCAGCAAGTATTATCTTTTATCACTACAAGAAAATTGCATTTTGTAAATGTGGCTTACCAAGACTATTAATTTTTTGCTAAAATTCTCCAATAGGAGTTGCTGCATAAAAAAAGGACAATGTTTTTCATTGCCTAACACACAATCACCATCATGTTTTTGTCATATTAATTACTGAACATTTTCATTTCATTTATTACAACCAACAGCTGACACATAGAGGAGTGGCCCACACTCAACAGGCCTCACAGACCATTTTCCAGAGGACTGCAGAAAAGAAGAGCATTCTAGTAAACACGGGTGGGCTTCGTCAGCAACTCATGATTCTTTGATGATGAGCACTGCTTGGAGAGTTTCACTGACTGAACAAAATGTTGTCCTCCTCATAGGCCAAAGCTGGATCTTCCATGCTCCCTAGTAAAGTGTGACTGGTTTCATATTTACGGCGTGTTGGTGATGGTTCTTTGGCAACAGTGGACATCAGCTGATTCCAGGTGATGTTAGTATTTTTGAAGGCATGCAATAGGAAAATGCCAATGAGGATACTGCAGAATCCACTCAGGGTTCCAATGATATCACCCAGTTGCATACTATTCCACTCCTTGAACAAGATGATGGAGCATGTCACAACTGTTGTAGTGAAACACACGTAATAAATAGGTGTCACTAGAGATGTGTTGAACACGTCCAGTGCTTTGTTGAGATAGTTGATCTGAGTGCTGACTGAGAGCACCAAGGTGCCCACCAAAATGTAAACCAGCGGATGTCGATAAACTGGCTTCTGCTCCAGCATTTGTTTAATGGCAATGCCCAGGCCTTTCACAGATGAGACAGAGAAGGCACCAATGAGCGAGCAAATTAAAATGTAGATCAATATGTTTGTCTGACCTCTCTTTGGAGCCACGATAAAAATTAGGACAAGGGCAACAACTGTTATGAGAACAGCAAATGTGACAAATGCTGTAAGAAAGGGAAGAAGAGTAATGCACATGAGATAACAGATAACATACCAGAACTACGTCACAGTACATAAAGTTATTCAGAGTCCTGAACACTTCTCTATGAACTGTAATACACGTTCACTGCAATTGCATACAGACCTGGATCTTGCAGCTTTGTTTCCATTTCATCTAGTGAGGTGACCTCTTCCTCCTCTGGGGCATGAATAACCATGACTGTTGATCCCAAAACGCTCAGTACACATCCCAGCTTTCCATGAATATTCAGCTTCTCATTTAAAAAATAGGATGACAATATAGCACTGTTTGGCAAAAAATAAACAAGAGGTTCAGCTCCACCAGCCACACAAGACATTCAAAATCTGTCTGTGTAGCATGACAGCAACTCAAAACCTCATTTGAATTTGAATATATGGTCAATGAGTTTGAAACAATCATATTGTAAGGAGTTTTGCAATAAGGTTGGTCATGACCAAGAAGGTCAGGTCAGGTTTTAGGGAGGTTAGCAACCCTGATCACTTTCCTCCAGGTTGCAAAGAGTACAAGTTGCTCAAGAAACTTCTCATTCCTGATTGCTTGGGCCAGAGGTATGCACTCTCTCACACCTGTAGATTAACCCCATGAGCTCATTTCTTTCATTCAAAAATGGCTTAAAGCACTTCATTTGCCATTAGAACCAATTCGCATGAGTTTTGGAAACTGTTCCTCATCCCTCCCTGGACTCTCCCACTGAGGCACAGTTTCTGTCTGGCTTGCCAGGACTCCCCCCAAAGCACAGAGAAGGCATGTCTCCCCTCTGAAGAGGGCTGACCCCAGGATCTCTAAGGTATTCAATATTTAACCTAAGGACAATAACATGGCCTAAATGAGACCACCTCACAGGGCACAATTAGCCTGTTAAGCATAACCTTGGGCACAGACACAGGGTTAATGGTGTGTGGACACGCTCCCAAATAGCTTTTCAACTCACTGATCAAAATACAGACATTTATTTCACACAAAGGTAACAAGTTCACTGACATGAAGTTCTCATGACCTCTCTGTTTCATGAAAATTGGAAAGACTGCTATCCTCATCAAAGGAGGGGGTAATAAAACTCAAGCTGTTTTGCAAAGCAGCAGCCAGGCAGCCACTTAATCTGCATCTACCTACATGCTGATTCCGGCACAACTGAATTATATTAGTTTTGCTATGATGGAATGGCTGCAGTTTTAGCAGTTAGATTGCTGCAAGGATCTTGTTGTTTTGTTTTGGTTTTTTTAATATGTGGCCCAGGTTGTTTTAAACACAGCATTTCATACAGTACGCTCAGATCTTAAAAGACAATAATTTCATTTTGCTAATAAATTATTTCCTTGAAAGTTTTTTGTAAGCATAGGCCATGTCTTTTTTGCTGCTATAGTAGCCACATTAATGTATGTGCTTAAGTACTTCGAAATTATTTGTTTCTTCATATGTAAGAAATAAAAAATTTCTGAAGGACATTCATGTTTCAAAAGAACAAAAATTTTTAATTTTGCATACTGAAAAAAGCCAAAATTTTATTTGCCTTCTTTCCATAAGGACTTGGAAAAGAACAAAACAAAACCAAAATATTTATTACATGTGCCTTAATATGAAATTATCCTCCTATAAAAATAAATGTTTTTGAAAACATTTTAGTGGGGGAATACAATATTTTCTTTAACATTTTGATACAACTGAAGAAGAGGGTAACAGTTCAGTTCTCTAGGAAGAGATAAATTACAACCTTCTATCACTGTGCATCAGCAGTATACCTCGTATATGCTGATAAGAAATACTTTATAATATAGGTAAAAGGCCATTCAGCGGTCTTTGGAACAAGACTTCTAACTCTGTCTACCCAGAAAACTCAGTTCCAAATAAGCAAAGGATCTTTCCACAAAGGAACAAAAAGCATTCTTTGTCCATATATTGCTTTTCTCTACTTTCAGCTAAAGACAGTATTTTTCCCCCATACAGTGAATGGTTCACTTGCCAAGATTTGCTCCCAGTTGGTACTAACCTTATGAGAACACTCAGTGCACCCAGTGGGGTAACTAAGGTTGCAGGTGCAAAGGCATAGGCAGCAAAGTTTGCAGCTTCTCCTAGTCCCACTGTAGAAGAAAGAACATTTGGATCAGCTTAGGAGGGGAGTGGGATATAAAAGGCATACTACTGTAAATATTTTGTATGACAGCTATGATAGCAAATATAAAACAAAATATAATTCTACACTATATGTGCAAATTTTCATTTCAAAATTAGCTACACAACCTCTTCTGGAAATAATAAAGGCTGAAGAAAGTTAAATACTTTTCTCTTAAGTACCTTAGAAGCTGGACAGGTGCAATCCCATTGCTTTTGACAGGAAAATAAAGAAAAGGTGGTTATTCTGCAAAAAGCTCCAAAGACCAAATGCAGTATTTGAGTGAACGGCTGAAATCAGAACAGCCTGTCTTGAACATGATTCCAAGGGCATTTCTTTTAAGTGAAGGGAATGAAAAATCAGGGAATAAATCTCTTTAAAACCATCTCCTTTATGTAGCATTTACATACAGGCTGAGAGGAAACAGGTGACTTACTTGATAGCAGTCCAGCCCACCAAAGCCATTCCTTCAAATAAGAATATCCACCTTGTCCTGAAAGCAGAAAAAAACAACCTCATCTTAGAAGAGAGATCACCTTATTATAATACAGAAAAGTACAACTTCACATTTGCACCTACAAAGTACTGAAAGAGCATATTATCTAGAACAGTATATTGCAATAAACACAACAAACAAACAAAAACCTGCTAATGCTGTGTATTTAAACCCACGTAAAGGGAATTATGAGATTAGTCCAATTGTTCTTTTTCCAGCTCTTCATCTGTTGACTTTGATGAAGGAATAGTTGTCCTTACTGTAGAAACTCATCTAATAAATATCCTTTCTACAGGTAATTGCACCTAAATTAAAAAAAAAAACCAAACCAAACCAAAAACACAACCCCCCACCACTAAACCTAGTTACTATCTTAAGATTTTTCATCTCAAATGAGGGGGAAAAAAAGATGGGAAAAAAAAAAAAGACATTTTGAAGGGTAAGATGAATGGAGTATTTTATTTGGTAACTAACTATTGTCAGTGAGGAAATATCATCAGCTCACTGGATTGAATGCACACTGCAACTCCCATAGCCCTACGAATTCTGAAATACCAGTCAGAAATAATACTGTATCTCCATCCCTCACCAAGACAGGATTTCTGATCGCTATTCAAATGCAACAGTTTTAAACATGTATTCTGTGATTCAAACCTTGATTTTGTGTTTTGGTGTTTGTGTCCCCAGCAGGAGCAACACAGGCACCACCACTTACCAGCTCGGGTGACTCCTCTGTCTGCCAGTTTCAAAAGTCCTTTCTTCTTCAGTATGAAACTAGAACCAATAAAGATACTGGAACCTATTGCCAAAACCAAGCCAATGTAGAGGTGATATCTGCTTCCAGCAGGCATGGAAGCGCTCCAGTCTGTTTCATTGACAGTCCCTTCCATAGAGGTGAGGAAAGGAGAGTGCGATTCAGACATGTTGATGATCTGGCACCATGCTTGGCACGAGTCACGGCAAGCAACAGACAGCACAGCACCTGGGAGGAGAAAAAAGATGACAAATGATTCATGATCCAGGCACAACACCGGAAGAGCCCAGATCTCACTCTGCTCACTCTTTCCATGTCTTGCCAGAGCACTTGTGCTTTCTAACTGTGCAGATAACACACAAAATAGACCTAACATACACAATGCTGCCCTGAGTCATTACCCAAACCTGTAGTGCACAGCTGCATACATGATTTGACACTTACATTTTGCACTTCATTGGCTCAGTCAATCAATTAGGGCAATACCAAGGAATGCAACAATATGATCTTCAATGTAAAATTCTACTTAAAATCTTAAAAGCTAACCTGAAACCTCAAGATTTTGTGTTGTGCAGAGACCACATTCCCAAAACACAAACATATAGTCAAATCCATTATTTTGGACTTTGCCTGTTAAAGTAAGCCTCCAGTTATTCCAGGCTTCTGCTTTTACTTTTGTGGCTGAGGTTGAAAACAACAAACAAACATACTAAACAAACAAGAAAAAAAGAAGAAAAATCTATACAGGGAGCAAACTCTAGGTGTATAAGCATTTTATTAAAACTGTTCCATGAGTACTGTGTGAGCCAGATCTTTTTTAATCCATCCAAGTTTTCAGGTGAAGGCCTCATTGCATGTCACAGCAATTTTCATCTAACCTCAACGTGCCCTGTCTGGAGGGAGATCACAGCCCCACAAGGGACAGTCCCCCAGCTATCCCTGCAACAGAGCTGCAGAGCCAGATGGTCCCGAGTTGAGACTGAAACTTCACACTCTCAGCCAGCCAAGCATTATCAGCATCGCTGTGATGACAGTCTGTGGGAATGATGTCATTGTTATCAGCTTAGATGTGTTTTTAAAGGAAGAAGAGGTATCGCATTTCCAAGAACAAAAGGAGTCATTATTTTGCCTGGGATAGCAGGGGACAGGCAGCAAAGCTGCAACAGGGCTGATGACAGTCTAGGCTGATGTCTCCCAGTTTCTCACAGTAGAGTGCATCACACAGCCAGTGAGAATTAGAGAACGCAGACTGGAATAGCTCTTAAGGACAACTTACTTGGTGAAAAAAGGGTTATTGTGAGGACATATTAAAATATGAAACAGTTGATGCAGAAGTACAAAAGCTCAGTCCACTGTGATTCATATAAAGCATGGGATGCAACAAATAATTTTGCTTTCCATGTTTTCCCTGTAATTAAAATGACAGATGAAAGATTCATCCTGCTGAGTGGCACCACCAGTAATACCTCCCCCTCCCCCCCGCAGTGGAAAAAAACCACTTGAGGACTTGGTTGTCTGTTCATATCTAAGCTCTGGAAGTATTACTGTTATGTCAAAAGTACTTCACTGAACAATTAACAATAAGCAGCCTTGGATAATTCATTTAATACTGTTTAGTAAGGAATATTTAAAATATTAAAGGTCTTAAAAATAGCATATCTTCATTTGCAGTTGGAAATCCTGATATTGACACTGGGAGATACCACCCTTTAAAAGTAAGGAAGTAGAATGAGTATCTGCTCTCAGTCCTCCCATGCCATACTGTGCAACAAACATACTACAGGAAGTTATCTTTTGATTTGCAAGCTTTGCAATCACATTTCCTTGTTTGCCAAGAGACTTTCTATATAACAGAGTTGTTTTGTATTGCTAAGTCAGACTTCATAAAAATGGTCCCACAAGATGGGTATGTTCATATCCTGCAGCTGAAGATTAAAATCTTAAAAGAGCTTAGATTAACGTGCAATTACTTTTGCATACTATGTAAGATAAATACTATTCTGCCATCTTATCATTATTAGAAATTGTAATTGGATAACGTAAAAGAAATGGAATTTGCATCTGCACCTGGAAGTAGTTTAAAATTCTAAAGTATTACCATAGTCTTAGGAGAAGAAAAATTTGCATATATTTAGGTTTTGACATAATTAATAAAGAATAAATTACAAAAGAAAACTGCAGATGAGTTCTTTAAGCATAAATATATTTTCTCTCAGCTAACATATATTGGGGCAAGACAGAAATGTCCCTGCTTATGGCAGGGGGATTGGACTAGATGACCTTTAAAGGTCCATTCCAATCTAAACTATTTTCTGGGGAAAAAAAAGCAGAGTGGTTGCCAGTGAATGAAATCCCTTATCTCCCAATATTTATAATGATGCTAAACCAAACTGGTGTGAGAAGCAGAACATTCACAGAATCACAGAATAAAGGTTGGAAAAGGCCTCTGAGATCATGGAGTACAACCTATGACCCAACACCACCTTGTCAACTAGACCATGGTACCAAGTGCCACATCCAGTCTTTCGTTAAACACCTCCAGGGACGGTGACAGCTGTACCTCCCTGGGCAGCCCATTCCAATGCCCAATTACTCTTTCTGTGAAGGACTTCTTCCTAATGTTCAACCTAAACCTGAGAAGAGTAATTTTGAATGGTTATAATCTTTGCTTATTCTGCTAAGCAGCTTTTCCTAGTTTTAAAAAACAAGTAATTTGTTCCACTTGCATGTAAAGTGCTATATCACTGTGCTGATCAAAGAACGACCTGAGAGATGGGAAAAGGAGGCTGATCCAGGAATTTATTTTATTACTTATTAATTTATTACTTTATTGCCGACTGCAGTCTGAGGATCACTTGGAAAGGCTGAAGGTGAAAACTGCTGAGGCTGTCTGCCTTGTTCAACACACAGTCTCTGTAGTTAAGGTAGTTTAACCTCCCATTCCCAAATGTGAACCAGTCAGCAGAACTCCTCCTTGCAGAAATAAACTCTCCCAGCTCTGACTCAAGGCTGATAGCAACAGGAAACCAACCAGACTTCAGGCAGCTGCCGTTGGAACTTCTAAACTGTTTTTACGATTCAGCTAAATCTGATTTTTTTCCCCCAAACACCTGAATAGTCTCTATCTAGACTGGCAGAATAGCCAGACTGGTGCTACACACTTCTTGTGGCAAGTCTAACTTGCTGTCGTTCTACAGTCCTGCAAGTCTAGGACTGATGTACCCTGCAGTTTGTTAACCACAACAAACTTGGCTTTTAACTCAACATTGAAGATATTGGTCTTAAATCATCTAGAAAACTAATTGCTTTGATTAGACACATAATTTGACCATTTCTATTGAGCTCACGAGTCAGCCCATCCCTGGCAGAAACATGAAATGCCTTTTCTCAGTCACTCAGAAAACACGAAGTCCACCTTTGCCAAGGCCTGTCTCCTGGGGGCCAAAAGTGGGTGTACCGAGAAGCAGCAAGGAATTCTTTCCTGGCACACCTCAACTGCCAAAAATGTATCCCCCCCAAAAAAAAAAAAAAAAAAAAGAGCTGAAAAGAGGCTTAGACACGGGGCAGCCACGGGATAAACTCAGGAGCCTCCGCGTCGCCAGCAGCGCCTCGCTCTCCGGAAAACACCTGCTTGACGTGAAGGCGGAGGGAAGTGTTACGTGTGCAGGAGTCACGATCCCGCACCCGCGGTGCGGCCGCCGGGGCAGCGGGGGGCTGCAGGAGCGGCGCCCGGCACCGCGCACACACCGCGCCCTCACCTCCGCCCACCGCCGCGTCCTCCCCGCGCAGACCCCGCGCAATCCTGGCTGCCCAGCGCCACCCCCCGCAGACAGCCCAGCCCGCCCCGCCCCGCCTGCCCCGCACAGCGCCGCGGCTGCCCCGGCTGCCCCTCCGCGCCCGCACTGGCACTGACACCGGCACCGGCACTGACCTGCGCGGCAGGACGGGCGGGCGGGCAGCGCCTCTCGGTGCCCCACGGCTGCGGGGCACCCCCTCCGCCGGCTCCGCCGCGGCGGCTCCGCCCGCCCGGGAGCGGCCCGGCACACCCGGGCGCGCCCCTCGCCCGGCCCGCCGCCCCGCCGTGGGCGCTGCGGGCGGGGGCGGCATTCCCGCCGCCCCTCCGCACCTGTCTTGGGGGGCGACGGTCACTCTAGAGGTGACCAGGGCTGTATAAATCGTTATAAGTGGGCTTTATAAATCGTTATCAAGTCCCAGTTCTCACCTGGGGAGTCCCGCGGCCCCACCTGAACACTGAATTCGTGGGAGAGAGCTCTGTCCTGGGGTACCTTGGCAGCGTTTGTGTCTAGTGGGAGATTTATAGATTTGATTTTCATCCCCTTCGCACCTGGAAGGAGGGGTGATCAGTCTCGATGTGCAACCATCAGTCTCGATGTGCAACCACGTATGAGTGTGACAGGCTGCCAGCGCTCGCTTCGGCCAGTGGGTCTGCGGGCAGTCATCAGAGGGATCCCCTGGCCAAACTATGCCAGTGTCACACAACTAGGGCAGTGCCTGATGATGCATACGCTAAGATGACTCCTTGTGGCTGAACAGGCTCCAGGGTGTCATAAGAAACAATTATCTTTATTACCCAATCAATAGTTTCAAGGTAGAAGTGTAACCTGATTAAGTGAAATACATTTACAAAATATATGGCTTAATAAAACATTATATGCTGCCCAGCAACGTCCCTGGACAGTCTGAGGACCTTTAGCATGGACAAGGACTTCCTGAACTGCAGGAAAACAGTCGAAAATGTAACACATCTCTACAGAGCACCACAGGGACATGCGGACTTGAGACTGACAGAGTTGTAACCATGCTTTGCAGTGCAGCACCAAAACTAGTCATTGTTGGGTTTGAACTGTTTTACCACTGTGCAGACTGCTGAAATATGATGGCAGTGTCAGCAAAACTTTTCCTTGCCTTAGGCGTCCCTGACTTTGCAGTCCTGGGGTTAAACACAGGAGATGAGTTTCAAAGTCTTAGTCTTATTTTTTATTTCTGTATTTATTTTTTAGCATAACAGTGCTCTGTATGTTATGAGAAAAGGAACACTGCATTTCTAGCTAATAATCCAAGTCAATGGACAGATGTAAAGAACTTGCAGTCTATAATATAGTTACAGAATGGAGTGGATATACTTCCTGTGTGTATACTTCACATACTCATACTCAACTTGTTTTGAAGAACTTTGGGACAATGTCAGGAAGAAAGAAACTACATAAAAGTAATTTATTGACATTGATATGTTTTTCTTTATTTTTGATGACGTGTAAGGGTCAAATGACACAGAAAATAAAGTACGGATACACAATCTTAGCATCTGACATAAAGAAAAAAAGATGCCAGTTTACTATTCAAAATTACACCTGTGGTTGATTTAGAGCAATGACTGGATCATGAGCTAATGCAAATCAGCACAGCTCCACTTAATTCCATGTATCTATGCCAGATATGGCTAACGGCAGATCAGCCTTTTTGTGTATGTGTGAGGTAACAATATGCATGTACTAACACTCAAGGCAATTTTGTGGCAGTTCCCATTTCTTCAGAAGAGAAATAAGGGTGTTATGAAACCCTACTATACCTTTCTGTGTTATTGTACCATTTTTTTCCATTAAATGTGTGGAAAATGCAAGAGAAAATTTATATTAAAATTCTGCTATGTAATTACATAATTTCATTAATTATGTAATGAATGAAAGATTTCCTGAGACTTTCCTTAAAGTCAGCAAGCACTGACTTTAATTTTTGTGTTTTTTTAATAAAAATGGAAGCACTGAATATCTAGCCAGCTTCAATCTTTTACATTTATAAATTAAATAGTCATTGTAAACCTCGCTTTTTTCCTTAATAAATCCCATCTTACCTCTGTGTTAGCCATGAATGACTTAATTACTGTAATTTGTGCGACTTCTTGGCATTATTATAAATTCTTTAATTTTGTTGATGATTTTTTCCTCATATTGAGTTCCTTATGCAGTATTTAATTATATTATCATAAAAACAGAAGATCACGACAATAGGTTTCATCACAATTAGAAAACCTGTTCACTGTGCAGCTAACCCACATTGAAGCAAGATCTAGCTCTTTTTTTATTATTATTTAGGAAAATTGCCTGTGGCATTTTTAAGTCCTGTCGTCATTGCTCAGCTTCCCTGTTCTGCATTACCCTGCCTGCAGTTGCTGCTACGCGACAGAGTTCAAACATGAGCTCTGCTCAATACAGCAGCTACAGACAGGTTTATTACCTGTCTTGGCACTTAGCCACACGAAAATTACTGAGCTAGATTTTTGAGTGAAGCTCTGACCATGGCAACTCCATTTGCCCCAAATGCTGGTGATTTAGTGCAGACCTGCAGGAGCAACATGTGAAGGAATTAACATCAGTTGAGACAAAAAAATATGCCTAGATTGAAGTTCAAAATTATTAGATTGCTGTACTTGTGGAGAGATTAATTCTATATATGTTGCCTTAAAAGTGCCCAGATAGTACCAGCTTAACTCCTACTATACTATGTACTGTACTGTACTATACTACAATGAATGAAAGACAAGCAAGGGTAGATTTATTAAACCTACTTTATCTAGAATGCATTTTCTACCATTCTTATCAGTGGCAATATCATGTACTGATGATTTTCTTATATGAATAATTAATCTCAGTTGAATCACCTTTGTATGTTTAAACATTTTAGTGTCATTATTCTGTGCAACCAACCCAGATTTCCTAAATTATTTTAACTTGAAATAAAAATCTGCTTCACAGAAACCCTGACTGTTCAGAGCTTCTGGCACTCCTGCAGGGTCACTACAATTATTCTTTATCCCAAGGATATAACTGAATGAAGATCTGTTTTCCAGAGAGTTTTCTGTTAAGCCAGTCCCTCTGTTCCTTGCAGGTTTCAGGCTGGGAGGCAAAGAGGTATTTCAGGGAAGAGACACCCACTGAACCTGGAGGCACAAGGATAGCCTTATTGCAGGTTCATCTGAGGGCACAGAAAAACTGCTGGGCATGGCCAGATTCAGCGTGGACATTTCAGAAGTGCTAGTCCCTGCTCAGAGTAGTCATGCAAAAACTAGGGTCTGTGCCTGGAAGATGCTAGTGAAAGGCTTTGACACAGTCTTGGAGCTGTGTGATGCTGTGCTGTGTGCCTGAGATGTGCTGTGCGCCTCTGCTGTGCTGTGCTGTGCTTGCAGTCTGTCCAGTGCTTTGTGATTCCTGTCTCATCTGCACATGGGAATCTAACACACCAACACAAATCTTAAATTGCTTGTACTTCACTCTCCCTCATGCACCATTTAGCCCTAAAGTAAAAACACAGTACCACCTACTGGCGGAGACACTGTCGGCACTGATGGTTTTCCAGTCACCAAGCCTCATTGGAGCCGATTGTGCTTCATGGCACTGAATTCAACATAAGGGTGTATTAAATAAGCCACAAACCCTGAAGCCTTCTCAGCTACAGCACTTCCAACATGACGTTAATTGCTTACATTGCATCAGCACTAGAAAAGACAGAACAGCATTTGCAGAAAAGAAGCCTGCCAAAACTGTGATTCCAATCCAGGCACTCATCTGTTTACATAGCTACAAACAGTAGGGTGAAAGGCAATGTTGTGCCATTAAAACCTGCTTATTTATAAATAATACATATGTATAATGTATCTAGTGTTTTGGTTATGGGTATCTGAAACCAGATGTGGCCTTAACAGGATTGAGAAGAATTACAGATGATGACAATGCAAGATACAAAAATAGATTAAAGTTGGCCTACTAAAACAATAATCCACTAGTACAGTCATTCTCCCATCAGTCAAGGTTACTTCATTGGAATACAGAATGACCAGAAAAATATCCATGAAAAAATTGATGCTAAACTAATGTAATCATCAGTGAAGTCAATGACAACTATGTAATGGGTTTTTAAAGGAGGGCAGAATTGACACCACTGTGTTGAGCTCACGCAGAATTTGTCCTGCAAACTTCTTTGCAAGTAGGTGAGGTCCCAGCCACTGTCAGACAAGGAACTGGCCTGGCCCAGTAGGACTCATCTTCCTCTGTTTGAGAATTTTGAAAAACTCCATGGTAAGACAAATAAGAAAAAAAAAAATAGAGTTGTTTTACAGGAGTGTTATTTTATTAGAAAAATGACTGTTCCATACCAGAGTAAAAAGGTGTACATCTCCTTTGTGACACTCAACAGGGCACATGTCCCAGACACTCAGTGACACCATATATTTACAAAATCACTGCTCAGCATTGAACATTGAGACCTTTCAGATTGCAGGCCAGGCAAAAGCCCATGAGAATTACAGAGGTAAAACTGATCATAAGTCAATACTGGTTGGATGCAGTGAACTTCTGAGATTCCTTTAATATCTGTGATTTCAGGATAGGAGCTATACTTCAGTCCTTCAAAGACAACAGTGAAATATATGTCAGAAACTAGAAGATTGTTCACTTCTTTATCTATTTATTATGTTGGATATCTTACTCTAAATTGGTGTATATGGCTTCAATGTGTATAAGATTATGCATTTCCTTGTTGCCCATTACTCATGTATTTAAAACAGTTTTTATTCTTTAAATTTCAAATGCATATTCTCTTTTCTAGAAAATGGACTGACTCTCTTAAAACTTCATCATCATGGCATTTTTCACTAGATATACATTCACAATTCATGGAATTTTTTAAGCATCAAAATATGTTGTGTTAGATTATTTAAGAACTTTAAGTAGTTTAAAATTGAGTTTCACTTTCTTCAGCCATATGACATAAACATTAAAATAAACAGGAAATTTCCATTTGCAGTATTTATCTTATCCAGTAAAGACCTGTCACTGTAGTAAAAAAGCATTTGCAATATTAAGAAAACAGGCGAGCAGACAATACTGAATATATAGTCATTTACAATTATTTTTTTTCAGTTCCAAGACAGAGCACACTCCAGTATTTATTACTTCTTGTGCGTGTAGATAGGGCTAGTAAGCTTCTGCTCAGGCAAGGGATAATAGTGACTGCCATTGTCACTTTCATCTCTCCCTAAATCTCAAAATCCATCACTAGGTCAAGGAAATCCTCTTCTACTATCCATGTCC